TGACAGAGCATGCGCTGTTACGCAAAAACCGCGATAGAGTGAAGCCGCGGAAGTCGAAGCGCGAAGTGGCGAGGGTTCAGTGTAGTTCCCACAAATGAATCTTGGGCTCCAACTGTTATCCATAGCCTGCTGCAAACCAGATTCTCACAATTTAGGCTCTGATACTATTCCCTCTTTTGATTTCAAATTATATAATTTACAATCCTTCAGTCATTTATTTTGGTGTGCTTCTTCCATGTGGACTTAGTTGACATCTCACTTAGATGGCTGCTTGTTTGGCAACAAGCCTTCAAGACCTCAAATGCTATTTTATCTGAGAGCCAGGAACGTATCTGATTTCTTCGCCACATTTTGCTATAGAACCCATATCTTCTGTATTCCCTTCCTGAGTATTTAGCCGAGCCATTATATAAGAAGTAATTGTTCTAAGTTGGAGCTCGGATTTAGTATATTACAAGCCTAAAACAAGAAAAAATAATAACAACCCTCTGAGAAGGTGGGCAAAGGACCTGAACAGACAATGCACAAATGATGACACTAATAAACACATGAGGAAATGCATTCATTCCCTAGCCATCTGGGAAATGCAAGTCAAAACAACCATGAGATATTATCTAACACCCATAACCATAGCACAATTAAAAAACTGAGAACAACCAATGCTGGAGAGGGTATGGTCAGTTTGGAACACTTATTCCCTGGTGGTGGGCTTATAAATACATACAGCCACTGTAGAAAGTGACATGGCTATTCTGAAAACAGAGAGCAATTGAAATACCATATCACCAATCAATTCCATTACTGGACATATAAAACTGTTTTTCAATGCTTGAAATAATAAGTCAGTTATATGTTAATTTAACCTGTTTCTTGAAGACGGCAAAATGAATCACATTAGTAAAATAACTGGTTCTATAATCTTTAGTTATGTTTCCACTCAAGAAAAGCATCATTTTCCATAATGAGAAAGCAGAAATTACTATAAAATCAAAAGACACTAATATGAAGTCATTTGCAAATAGAGAACAGATTAAGTATGAGACTGTTCAATTGCTACCAATGATCTCTGCCTCAGAAATAAAATAAATAAGAGTAATATACAGTCCATGAGTCTAATATGAATTTCATATCACATTTTCTCCTATGTTCTGTTTAAAAAAGAAAATTAAGGTCAATTTTTAAGAGGAGAGTTATGGAACAGTATTGCTAAAAGACAAAATTGCAAAAGGTATCAGTAGGACCCCTTTAGAAAACAAGTTTCTATCAATTGCTCAATGTGTGAGGTTAAAACCCACTACTGGCAAGTTAGGCAGTCCTAAATATACACGAGAGGAAAAATTAAAATATTTTCTGTCTTCATTCATAT